AGACTGGAATCAGAATGGAGTTAGACTGGAGTTAGACTGGAACATGGACTTGGGTCTCCACTGTGTGTCTCCTGACATTAAATCTTTGTCTCCCTGAGGTTTCCTGCATGCCATGAGACCACTGTGCTGTTGGAGGGAGTGGAGGTAATAAAGGACTGAGATCAGCTGTCCTCCATCCTCCTCCAGAGGGATCCAATCATCTGATGTAGCATAGTTCAGTGATACCTCTGGATTGTTAGTAGCTCATAATGTGCCATTCACTGACAGCATTTATTCATTGTCACTAAAATGCTTCCTCTCTGCTGTGAAAACATTAGTAGAATAATCATATCAGCCAACCATTGGCTCCAGTTTAACGCCCAGTTAAGTAGCATTAGGGACCAGAATGAAACTTTTACAGGAAGCTGAAGTATGATGTTGAAGTTTCTCAGTCATTCAGGTCATAGTCGTTCCAAAAAAAGGTTAAAACACTCTACTGGAGTTTGTTTCCAAGTTGGAAGATGTTTCGCTTCCCATCCAGGAATATTTTTTAGCTTTTCTGACATTTTGAATAGAAAAAGCTTCCTGGATGGGAAGCGAAACCTCTTCAAAATTGGAAACAAACTCCCATTGATTTTTTTTTTTTTATTATTTATTTGGATCAAAGCTGAAGCTTTTATCTTACTGGTTGCCATGGCTACAGCAGGCTGCTGTCTGATTAGGGGGGAAAAGATTTCATGCTTTTCTCAACTCAAACAACAGTTTTATATCAATGATCCAGCTCATATATTATGGGATGACTGGTTGCTTTGCAGCACTTTCTGTTCAAATATCAACAGATGAAGTTAGTTTTATTTATGTGCAATATGAGTTTTTTTCTTTAACTTATTTTGTGGAAGGATGTTTGTTGTTCTGCTTTAAGATGTTTAGTTTAGTATTCTTGTGTCCTCAGACCTCAGTGTTTTACCCCAAGACTGTCTCTGTTGGGCCGCTCAGTCTGCTTTATCATTGGCTGCTGTACAAGGTCCAACCATCTGTAACAAAGAAGAACAAAAATAAAAGAAAGACATGTTGGGCTGCAGATGAAGTTCAGTTTAGACCTTTGATATATGAGAAATCCTCAGTAAAATGAAATATCCAAACCAAGAGACATGAACAGTTTGTTTTATTTATTTTACAAGAAATCTGCATCAAACACGGCAAGTTAATTAACGACCTTCGGTTTGATTAACAACAAAACCGACGGCTTGATTAACGACCAAACCGACGGCTTGATTAACGACCAAACCGACGGTTAGATTAACGACCAAACCGACGGTTTGATTATCGACCAAACCGACGGCTTGATTAACGACCAAACCGACGGTTTGATTAACGACCAAACCGACGGTTAGATTAACGACCAAACCGACGGTTTGATTAACGACCAAATCGACGGTTTGATTAACGACCAAACCGACGGTTTGATTTTTCAGGGCTCAGAACAGAGGACCAAGAATTGAAGCCAGACACATAGTCAGATTTCTCAAAAAGCGTTTATATAAAAATGACAGATTGGCAGTGGGAACCTCTGCAGGAGGGACAGACAGGTTAGTGATCACGTTCATCTGGCGTAGGATGATTAGTACCACGTGAGTCATGAACCTGGTCTTAAAGTTCAGGCCCTGCCCATTGGAAGAGGTTTATGGGAGTCCAGGCCTGAAGTTCAGAGATCTGGAGAGGTACTGAAGAGAAATCTAGGTGGGTGTCAAGAAGCAGATCCAGGTTCGTCAACAGGTAAAATCCAGCAGGAGTCTGAAGACAGGTCAGGCAAACAGATCAGAACGGGAACAGGCAGGCTCAGAGGTCCAAAGGCAGAATAGCTCAGGATCAGGCAATCAGGAACACCATCAGGTACGCTCAGGTGTGCCGCCACTAATTTGGGATGAAAGAGATTGATATTGCCCCCCCCCCCAAAAGAAATTTGTTCAAGCTTTAAAACTTCTATAAAAATGCAGTCAAGAGTATCTCAACCATTATCAAAGCAATTTTTATAGAAAGATTTCTACAAAGGAAAATGATCAGAATGTGAAAAAGTTAAATATACATGAACTATGAACTTTACTTATACATCCTACTTAAATAGTAACAGCTTATTTAAAACACAAAACACAACTGCATCTAAGAACACATGATTAGAAAATAGGTTTAGGATTGTGAAAATATATTTCTATTATGTTTCACTATAATTTATTAAAGGACAGAATATTTTTATGCCCTGAGAGCCTATTTTTCATTCATGTCCAGGATACAAAATAAACAACAGGAGGCCATTTCATTTTATAGTTATTATTATTATTTTTTTTTTTAGTTTTTTGGCTTTAATTTTTGTTTTTTTGCTAACTGGCCTGGGGGGGTGGGGGGTTTGAAGAAACAGGGCTGCAGGCGGATCATCTGTTTCCATGATGAAGGAGGAACAGAGACAGTTATTTAATGGAAACATCTCCTAGCGTTTAGCTGATGCTAACCCTCTCAGCTCTGGGAGCTTTCTGGCCTCTGTGTTATTTACAGACACCAAATAGTCTCAATATATGCTGGATTAATCCTGGTTTAATTCTTCTTTAAAAATACAAATGACACACAACAATAGAATAATAGAAGAACTTGCAGTCCTGCTCCGTTTCAAACAGCACCCAGCTGGGCGGCATCATTAATGCGCGATTCCCCTCCGACATTAAGTAAGAATAACTCAGTAGTTGCATCCAGCAGATCTTATTTTACTCAAGTTTAATAATCTATTGTTAATTTGAATGTTTCAGGTAACAAACCTCCTTTAAAAACCGGGTACCGGAATCGGACGCCTTCTCCCTCTCTCCTCTTTCTTTTTCTTCCTTTTTGAAACCCAGACTTTGGCTGCATTTTTCAGCCACGGACGTTGGTGCACCAGAAGATTCAAGTTGGGTGATAAATGCAGGTCTAATAAATTATCTTTGTGAGACCACAAAGGTAATTAATTTCAGTGGTGAATTTACTTTTTTAATCGGAAAAATATAGCAGGACAAACCTTTACTTCTTTTTGCCCTAACACCCCCCCACCCCCAGTCAGGGGCCCTTAGGATCTTCCTAACTTCCCCTCATACGGCGCCCCTGGGTACACTAGAGAACTCTGACCAAAGGCTCGAATAATCTGATACTGATAACTGGGAACAGGCAGGTTAAATATAGACTGGAGCAGGTGACACAGCTGAACGGTAATGAGCAACTGGGTGGAGCCAGGCAGGTGAATGGAATGAACACTAAAGCAATTCATCAGCACCAAGATCATGACAAGAATAACAACTAAACCAACGGTTTGATTAATAACCAGACCAGGGGTTAGAATAATCAACAAACCAACACTTAGATTTACAACCGAACGAATAGTTAGATTAACGCCAAATCCAAAATTTAAGTTAACAACCAAACCAGCTCTTATATTAACTACCCAATCAACAGTTAGATTAATGACCAAACCAAAAGTTTGATTAACTATTAAACAAACACTTAAATTAACAACCAAATCAACTACTGGATTAAAGATTATACCAATGGTTAGATCAATGACTTAAACAAAAGCTAGATTACCTACCCAACATATGTGTAGATTAACAACCAAATCAATGGTTTGATTAACCACAAAACCAATAGATAGACTAACAACCAAATCACCTGTAAGATTAGTGACCCAAAAAAAAAGGCTTAGATTAACAGTTAAACCCAGGGTTAGATTAACAACCAAATCAACAGGTAAATTAATGACCAAACTAATGGTTAGATTATAAGTCAAATAAATGGTTGAATAACTTTCTAAAAACAGAATAAAAACTTAAGATTCATGTCTTAGTCCACAATCTTTGTCCAGGTGATGAAAAAGGCTGAAACCAGGTTTCACTCTGATTCAGTGCTGTTCTGGATTCCTGTTCTGCTGAGCTTCTGCAGATCCTCTGGAACATGAAACCTTCTCTACAGCTACTTCATGTCTCCCTTATTTCCCTGTTACCAGCCGTTCTTCTGGGCTTCGGTTTCATGGACACGATAAAGGGTTTTTAATGTTGATATGTCATGTAAACATGTCAGACTGAAGATTCTACTCCGATTCGGTCCAATCACAAAGAAATTTCATTCTGAAAGAGCGAGGTTGTTTTTTTCGAATAGTCATTCCTGCCTCCTTTGATTCTATTCATTTTATTTCTATATCTAAATTTCACATCATGTCATCTCAGGTCGCTTTATAGATCCAGATCATCCAGTCAGATTGATTCAAAGTTTTCTATCTAAGGAAAACCAGCTGATTGCATCGACTCATTGACTCTCATTNGGACTTAGGCACAATCTTTCATTAAAACCAAACAAAATAATTATTTTGCAGACAATTCAGATTTTATTTTAATTCTTAACGATTGTAGTCCTCGTGTGTGTGTGTGTGTGTGTGTGTGTGTGTGTGTGTGTGTGTGTGTGTGTGTGTGTGTGTGTGTGTATCGTTTGGGTAGTTAGCTAAGTAACTACTGCCTAGCAGTTTAACAAAATTACTGGCTAGGGCTGAGATATGATCTAATCTTAAAGAATGTTTCTGGGTTTAGTCTTTAAAAAGACTGTTGGGGTTTGTGTAGTAAAGGCCTATGTAAATCGAGATTGATAACAGACTAGCGAGAGCTGGCACAAGCGAACTTGGCAAGAGACTAGACTAGAGTGAATGGAGAGCTATGTCGTGAGTCAATTTAAATGCAGTGATTTATTTTTGTGAGAGTGAGTGAACATTTACACCCCGCTCTGTAAGTCAAGGCGGGAACGGCGGCGACCATGCGCATGCGCGATTCATTTGCAGCCTGGACACAGAGGGGTGTGTGTCTCCTTTCTGCTGCAGGCTGGGACTGCTGCGCGAGGTTACTGAGAGACTGACCGCCTGTGAGTGCCTTTGGACGGGAGAGGGGCTCATGGCAGCACCCGCTGCTCGTTGAGCACAGTATGCCTAACTGCAGAGTGATTCGTGCTTTCGAGTCTCCAAACACCACAAAAGTCTCCAAAAACACCAGTAAAAGTCGCGGGATATTTTGACAAAAAATAATTTGTATACAATGTCGCTTAGTTCACTCAAGGCAACAGAAATGTCCGCCCGAGGATGAGTGTAAACTCCACACAGGAACATCACCGAAAACTCCCATGGGAGAAAAAAGGGGCGGCATTTCAAAATAAGACATTCCAAGTTGACGTTGCAAGTTTTGTTCACGATGACACAATCAGTGCACCAAAGTTCGTTAATTAAAAAACACTCACCTCCACCCTTCGATTTTCCGGTACGCTCCTTCACCCTGTCCGAGCGATGGACAGAGAAGCCCGGCGGCTGGAAAGAAGAATCCAGCACGCCGCTGGAAGCCTGTAGCGTCCCCACTCAGGGGCTCAGCTGTACGGCGTATGTGGCGATACCTCCGCCCAGTCCTTTCGCTCTGCTCCCGACTTCCGCGGCCCGACTCCTGGCCTTGTTTACCTCGAGTGGGGCACGCATCGAAATCAGCACACCTCAGTCCAGTATTGGCAAAAGACAGACCACAAACTTCCTCACGGATCCTCAGAAGTGTCTCACGGCCATAATTTAAAGTGGTAAATACATCAAAGACAAAAACAAACATAAAACAGCCAGCACACAGGAGAGCTCTTGCTACGGCGCCCTGTCTCGGCGCCATGATCAACCACCCGCTTATCACCGCATTTGCGCTCACTATCGACAAAACAATCAAATTTGTTCAAAACTTTTTTTTTTTAATCAGTCCAAACACATTTTAATTTTTATTCAGGAGTTATGTATATACAAAACTTTAACTTTTTATGAAATAAAAAGTTAAAAAAAAAAGATAAAAAAAAAAAGATAAAAAAAAAGTGTAAATTTTTTTTTTCCAGTTTTTTTCCACTCCCATCCTGTAGCCTACTCGCGCCCCCCCGGGAGAGTGTCGGGGCCCCCCCGGGGGGGCGCGCCCCACCGGTTGAGAACCACTGTTCTAAAGGAAGACACCTTCTGAACCTCATTCCTTTTGCACATTGCGCCATCTAGTGGCCACATGAAGATACTGTTATCCATTTCCAGTATGAGTTTATGTGCAGTGACATAAATCTGGAACAACCTGGACTATCAACCTTGACTGGAGATTTGATTTTAGGCCCATAGCTGCTCTTTTGTTCAATCATATAAATATATCTGACAGAAACATCCAGATGTGAGGTGAGAGCAGAAGGTATTAAATGAGGAGTTTTAGGAAGGAAAGGTTCATGTTGGGGATTCATGCTGGCTGATGATGCAGCCACGGCCAACCTAAGGACAGACAGCATCATCCTGTTACGGAGAACGGGATTTTATCATGGGTCACATAAAGCAGCATGTTTGGAATACTGAAAATACAGGAAGTAATCTGGATTGAGTTATTCCAACAGTAGAACATTTCAGAGGCTGTTTCAGGCTAACATGCTGGGACTCATGGCAGAGAAGACTGTGGGGAAAACTCCATGGAAACAGCCCGGTGGGTGGAGGCTCTGACACACTGAGGTCCTCTGATCTGGGAGGCTGTTCCTTTTCATTAAAGATTAGGACATGGATTTTCCCAAAAAGTGAAATCATTGGATTATATTGGCAAATATAGGAGTGTTTTACTTTTTATGACCAGAGGGGGGCAGCACTGAATGAGCCCAGAATGCCACAAAACAAGAAGAAGAAGAGTTTTTATTTTATTTTTTCATTTTTTTTAATTTTAATAAAACTTTATCATATAAAGAATAAAGTAGAATAGAATAAATTCAGCTTTATTATCTTTCCACTGTCACCAGTACAGAGCAATTAAACTCCCTCTGCATTGAACCCATCCCCAGTGGGCTGCCATGGTGCGGTGCCCGGGGAGCAGTGTGGGATTAAGGGTCTGACTCAGGGACCCATAGTGGCAGGCTGTGGGAGTGGGCCCTAACCACTAGGCCTCCCTTCCCTTGTCATCCATGATCAATGGAGACAATCATTTGAGTTTTGCAAATTATGAACAGATGATTCTAAAGGGGGTTTATTTTTGTAACGGAAGTGCTGTTGTTCTAAATAAAACGTCTCTGTGGAGAAAAATTGTTTATTAATCAATGACAGTAATAAAAATGTGAAGCTTTTCTATTTTATAATCACGTAGAATTAGATACTTTTGGACCCTAATGGCAGAGAAAACGGGATTAGGAATAAAAAAATGTCCACCTAGATATGGGATTATGTAAAATCTACTTTATCTAGTGAGTTTTAAGTTTAGTATTAAGGTTCGAGTTTGAAGCAGAGTGGCAGATCACGTGATGTGTTTTTGAATAAATAATGTGAAAACAGAGGAACATCTGCAGGAGAAGAGATAATCCCTAATTCCTAGGGATAAATCTCTGCAGATTGAAGATCTTTGATCGCAGCAAGAACAAGAGGCGCTGGCTCGGCGTCAGCACTGACGTCATCAACATGCGCCACAGAAAGCCTTATATCACCCTGAGGTCTATGTCCTGAAAAACACCATGAACACCAACAGCTTCCTCGCCTTGTCCAGAGCTTTTCCACGAGGAACCAGCCCACTCACCTGCCACGCGTGGAGACTGTGGAAACCGGCGCTCCGTGTCCAGCAGCGGAGGACGATCAGAACCCAGAGCAGGAGTCTGGCCTATGCCAAGGACCTGTTCCTGGGTCAGATTAACAAGGTAACAACCCAGCCCTAGATTAACTCTGGATTAGATCTCAGT